CTTTAAAGGCGATTTTCTCAGTATTTTGATTTTTTTTTTTGCACCCTCAGATTCCAGATATTCAAGTAGTTGTAGCTCGGCCAAATATTGTCCTATCCTAACAAACCATATATAAATGCAAAGCGTATTTATTCAGCTTTTAGATGATGTATAAATCTCAATTTAGAAAAATTGACCATTATGACTGGTTTTGTGGTCCAGGGTCACATATAGTGTGACCACAACTTTATTGTGTGTACTTCATCCGTAAGATTTTTTTGAAAGAAATTAATACTTTTATTCAGCAAGTGATTAATCTGATTTTAAAAAGTGGCAGAGTAAAGACATTTCTAATATTACAAAAAAAAATTTTTCATATAAATGCTGTTTTGAACTTTCCATTCATAAAAGAATCCTGAAAAGTATTTGATCAAATGCTGCCTTGGTGAACATAAAAGACTTCTTTAAAAAAACATTTAATAATTTACCAAACACAAACTTTTGAGTGGTAGTCAACTAGTCAAATCTGATTCACAAAATAATGTTGTGAGATGGTTCTTTTCAGTGAATTGGTGAATCAATGTATCCACGTTTAAATTAGTGGATATCAAATTAACATCTCATTCACTTTCCGAAGTGCAGATCAATACTTTAATTCTATTAAAAAATAGGCAACTTAGACATTCCACCTAAGATCTTTGTTTCATGGAAGAATGAAAAAAGAAGAATTTAAATAACATGATGTTGAAAATTTTTCGTTTTTTTAAGCAAACTTTTCTTTTAAATCAGACTGATTACTGAATGGTTCATATGTCATTGTGTAAGTAAAAATATGCATTTGCAAGTTGCCATAGAGACTCACTCAGGTTCAGTTTGTCTTCAGAAAACCTGCTATGTGTGTCTGAGTTTTGTTAATGAGTAACTTCTCTCTCACAGACGTGGCCAGCAACAAGCTGCAAGGCAGTAATATCTTCACCATAGCCAAGAGAACAGTGGAGGGGCAGGACATGCTGTACCAGTCTGTCAAACTCACCAACGGCATTTGGGTGCTGGCAGAAATGCGCATACAGACCGGCAACCCCAACTACACGGTAAATGGAAACAAAGAGACATGAAGGATGTTGTAGTGGCTTTTACAGGGATGTGAAGAGACTAGCAAAGTACCACTCGAACACACATACACACATAGATCGATAAAGACAAGTGGATGTGCTGGAGGAGACAGTAGCGGCCGCATGTGAGAGAGTGTGTTTCACAGAACGACTCTCCTGTTATTTCATAACGAGTCATGCGGGAGAAAGATCTGTGTGTTTGTGTGCATGTGTGAGAGATGAAACCGGTCAAAGGGGAAAGGACTGCTGGGTAGATAAACACTGTCTTAAAACCTACTGAGCTGCATGCCTAGATAGCATTTTATTTGCCTCAGAGTCTAAAAATGCTAGTCAGGCTGCATGCTAGGTTGGAGACCTAGCCATTGTGTTCAGAGAGAAAGAGAGTTTGGCAAATCCTGTGTGGGCAAAGATAAGGAAAGAAGATTGTCAAGAAAGATGTCAATCCTCTTGTCAGTCCTTTCTCCCTTTGGTTTGTGGGATTTGCCATTATCAGCCCAATACGGAGTGTATGTTTCTTCTCCCTCACGTTCCCTTTCACATTTCCCACATGAATCATGCTTCAAACACAATTGTAGGGAACCATTTCTTCTCTCAGATCTCAAGTGTACTGTACCTAGAATTGTGTACGCCAGCTTGCTTCATTCCCAATAGCAGAATATGCATCCACCCGAGTCCTAGAGAATTTAATTATTAATATATTATACAATTATAATTATTTTTCCTCGGAGTTAATCAGCATATGCAGCTGTTTTCATCAGAAAATGCCCATTTATTGTGTTATTCCACCGTGTTGTGGCACTTTTCATGAATCATGTACAAATTGCTGTACCATTACTTTTCTTTAGAGCAATAAAGGCACACATCCCATGTTCTTTGAAGAGGAAACCACTAGATGTTGCATAAACTATTATCTAATATAAAATTAATTGCATCAAATACATCTAGCCCCTACTGAGTGCTTAATTTAGGATAAATCTGCACCATGTGCCCAAGTATCCTCTATCACATCTTATTGTCTATGTGATGAATGTGATTTCATATGTGATGTTTGATTTTCCTGTATTTTTTCCTGTGTTTGCTCATCTCTGCACTCACCTTCGATGATGACAACACAATGCAGGAAATGGAGGTTGGGTGTTTTTTTCCCCCCAAAATAATCTTAACTTAAAGGCAGAGTGAGGGATTTCTGGTAGCCAATGTTTATATTTGAAATCACCAAAACAAACACGCCCCTACTTATTGCTGATTGGCTACAAGTTTGTTTTGCGATTCGGCCCGAATCAGTTTTTAAAGCATTTTTGAAAAATCCCTCACTCTGCCTTTAAACTAAACATCTTACCTTTTACCTCTTGCTGCCTTTAAATAAACATCATTCTTTCGTTTACTTCCTTCTATCAACAGTAAAACAGTAAAGTCCACCAAAACAAAGCATGTCTGTAATAGTGAAGCATAATAATGAATATCACAACTATGTGACTTCATATAAGAGCAACTGTTTTGAAGGGTCAAGCAAACCACAGTATAAGGAAATGTGCAGAAAACTTGGAGTTTTATTTTGTAGTCCTTTGTCATAATAGAAAAGCTTGACATTATAGGAAGACACAGAGGTTGTGTGCACAGAATTGTTTTCCAGATTTCAGTCCAGGAAAAATCAAATTGAATAGCCTTCATAAAAGGAGTTGCTCTTCAGCAGAAACCCGTCGATTCACGGCATGTGCTTTTAATGTGCACAAGACTTGCTCTCCTATACACACACCAGTGTTTCCTGTAGTGCTTTTAACCGGAGGCACTCCACCGCTGCTGAATCTATAAATCTGCTGTTAAATCTACACCGCCACCGCAAAATTATATTTTAATTTGAAATGTGAGCTGGCCGTCTGAATTGAATGTGAGGAGATTAGACAGAGTGCTGCAAAATTATAGCAAGAAAACAAATGGTTTTCGTGACTGCATGCAAAAACAAATGTATGACTCGACCAGTGTTGTCCGATTCTCTAGTAAATGACTCACTCCTTTTAATGAATTGTTCAAGACTATTTACAAAATTCCATCAAATCTTTCATTGAATAAACTAAATTTGTCATAAATGTTGACTTAACACATCTGTATGGGTCTGTTAATCTTCCATCTCTTTCCTCGCATCCGAACAGCCACTTTAATAAGAGGCAGAACTGTTATTCCCAGCTCAGACGCACGGTCCATGTATCATGGTTGTTTTGTTCCTGGCTGTTGTTGTAGCATATAAACAGTATCTGTCTGAAAGGACAGAAAAATGTGGCTGTGTGGCTATACTGTGAACTGTTGTGATGTTTTTTTTTTTTTTTTTAATATCTAGCAATGTTTCCATTAGCTACAAAGCTCTACAATTTGTCACTGTTCGTCGTCCCTATAGCAACAAGGCGTCCAATAGCATGGCCCGGTTCCCCTTTAAATGCTGCGAGCGTCTGATGGCAGGGATCTGTTAAAGCATTTCTCCACAAACCTTCGTGCAGCACCCCGCTGCTTCCAGTCTTGCTGTCATCCCATCATCTCATCTGTTTTTGATTACATTCTTCCCCATTGTCGCAACCCACTGCTATATCTCTAAGTCTTAGAGTCACACCATCCATTCTTCCTTAATTCTGTGGTTCATGCTCACCACCCACCTGTGCAGTATCTCTCTCTTTGACTTCATCTCTCGAGTCAAATTATAGAACAATGCAACTGTTAATAAAACGCCTCTGCATACAGGAAACTGATGCCACATTGCAAGTCAGCACCAATGTCATTGCGTCTATGTTTGTGCACCCACTACATTCTGCATGAAGCTAAGACAAAACCCTCCAAATCTGACGGAACTAATGAGAGCTTGAAGTGGAGTAGGCCTGCATTTGATTGATAAGGACATGCCCACTCATTCTTAGATGTTCTCAGCATATTCATTCAGCTAATTTATCTGTCTAAATCTTACTGATGATGAGTTGAATGATCTTTAATGAGCACTTTGCAGTGTTCCCTAAGCTGTATATTGATTTTTACTTTTATAAATCTGTTCAGCATATTGCATATTAATTTTAATTAAGTTTTTTTTATTAATGTTTAAAATTTTATCATTTTAATATATACTACCATTCAGTAAGACTCTGGGGTCAGTAACTTTTTTAGTCAAAAAATTCCTGAAAAAAAATCACTGATTCCACAAAAAAATATTAAGCAGCTCAACTGTTTTCATCACTGATAATAAGAAATATTTCTTGAGCAGCAAATAAGCATATTAGAATGATTTCTGAAGGATCATGTGACACTAAAGACTGGAGTAATGACCATCACAGGAATATATTACATTTTTAAATATATTGAAATAGAAAATAGTTTTTTTTTTTTTATTGTAAAATTTCATAGTATTAATATCACTGTATATTAAAAATATTTCCGACCCCAAACTTTAAAGAAGAATTTAGTTTGCAATAAACTGCTATATATGTAATTTGATTATATGTTGTCATATACCTCTATATCAGTGGTCACCAACCTTTTTAGGCCCAAGATCCCTGACCTCGGCCTTTATGAAAGACAAGATCTACCTATTGAAGAATTGATAGAAAAAGACATCCCAGATTGTACTTCATACTTGAGGCCTTTTACTTAGTATTTTAATTACTGATGCGCCGATCACAGCTGATTCAGAATTCAGATTTTCTTTTCTTTCTTTCTTTCTTTTTTTTTTTCAACTAGCAAATTGGATTCTGATACTGATACTGATTTTTAAGCAAATTTATTTATTGGCTATTTGCTTTATAACAAACAAACTGGCTTTAAACAAAAATATCTAGCCATTTGAAATTAGAGGCAATCACTGCATTTTAATCATGATCTGCACGGGCAGTTGTTTTTGATTTGATTTAGATTAATTTCAGGATTTAAAACAAAAACAGAATGGTCTGACTTTAGGTGTTATTTATTTATTTGCTACATAAAACATCTGCACGAAACAAAAACAGCAGGTCTGAATGAGACGCACTCTCTGACAGCAGGTGGCGCCTATGAACAGGGTTGCCAGGTTTTCACAATAAAACTAGTCCAATCGGGATCTTCAAGTAAAATTCACATTCCAGGGACTAAATATCACGTTATTGGGGTCGCTTCAACCCGCGGACATGAACAACAACCTGCGGCAACAGTGTTAAGTAGCCTAAATTCCGCGGGAAAACCGCGGACTTGGCAACACTGTTTATGAACAGACCGCACTATAGCGTTTCCTTGTTTACCGCTGTAAACTAAGCAGAGTTGCGCTTTATACGGAGAAGAAAATGCCATTGCCATCGAAACTTTTCTCAAGACAGTTCCCTTCAGTGATACATTAATATAACCCCAGAAATGTAATGCATTTTTGTACTTATTTTACTGTTTTTTTCGGGATCTACTGAGACAGTGATAAAGATCTACCAGTCGATCGCGATCGACGGGTTGGCGACCACTGCTCTATATAAATCAGTATATGTTAATTTAATCCACCAATATATTCTGATTGACTGTGATTCTATTCTATTATAAAGCATTTTTACCTTGAAACAAACATATTCAAATACTTGTCATTGGAAACGTTCCATCATCTTTAGTGGACACAGTATTAGGAATCTCAAACTTTGTGTGTGTAGACACTAATCTTTCTTTTGACTAGTGGGAGCCTCACAGTCGCTGTGGAAAGCTGCAGGGTGATCTCATAGAAGCCCAGAGAGAACTCTTGGGTGTGGGAGGGATAAATTGTGCCATTGATCTCTCCCTCTCCCTCACGCTCATCTCTTTCCCTTTCGCACTTACGATGCCGTATTGCACAGTACCCACAGGCTTTCTGATTATTCTCTGTATGATTGGTCCATGAGAATCCTCAAGTCTGCTGCAGCGCTCACTTGACAAAATCGGAAGCAGGTGTTGCAGTAGATGGAGGTCTCCACTCATGTCAGCCTCTCCAAGCAGAGTTGCACCTCTGACATTAGTCTACATTTGTTTGTCTATTACTCTGTTAGTGCCATATGAGATCCTTTTAGGAGGAACAGCTTTTTATGTGGCTCGCAGCAAGTAAACGCAGCTTGCTTATGAATTTGCTACAGGTGGTTAGTTGAAATTGTTTCTCAATTTCATGAATTTTCAGCAGCCATTACTCCAGTCTTCAGTGTCACATGATCCTTTAGAAATCATTCTAATATGCTCATTAGGTGCTCAAGAAACATCAATGTTGTAAACAGTTGTGCTTAATATTTTTGTGGAAACCATTATGCGTTTTTTTAAGGTTTCTTTGAAGTTTAAAAGAACAGCATTTATTTGAAATAGAAATATTTTATAACATTATAAATGTCTTTACTGTCACTTTTCTTACTGACCATACATGTTTGAACAGTGGTGTACTATATATTTATACGATACATTTTATATATGCTTGGTGAAAGTACCGTTGTGCTTTCAGACTTGAAATTAGTGTAATAACTTTTTCTTCAACTAATAATAAGGCAAAAATTGGAAGCGTTAGTCAAAGTCTAAGCTTGTTTTGGTCTTCATGGCAGTGTTTGTAATTTTGTGTTTGTGTGGTTGCTCTTGGCAGAGTGAAGGAGATTTATATTAGTGTGTTGGCAGGCTTTCAGCATTACTAGTGTTTATTAGTTTCTCTCACATTCTTTTTCTTCGCTTTGCAATGTCTCAATTTTCTTAGCATGCCCTCAAATCTTCACTTCTTAACAATTTTGTGAAATTTAAATTGATGTTTGATATTTGCCAGCGTGTCTGTAATTAAATTCTAATCTCTCTTTCTGTTTCTTTCCGCAGCTGTCAATAAAATGCAGAGCGCCAGAGGTCTGTCAGTTTGTGTACCAGTGCTATGAGTTGGTGCTGAAGAACTGAAGTGGGGGAAACCAACAGGAAACTGCAGTTCCCAGGCATCGTTTGGGTGGCTGAAACTTGATTGGACCAGTCAGAGAAAGAACCCCCGCTGGCTTGCATTTCCCTCAGACTGTGCTTTCAGCATTGACGGAATCCCAAGGAATTTTTCTTCATTATTTTGTCCATTCCCAACACCCTTCTTTATCCCTCCTGCAATCCTTAAAATATTACAGTTACGGTCTCTCTTCTAAAATACAACACACAACATATAAAGATATCATCTTTATTTCACATATGTGCAGGTGTTCTTCTCAGCAAATTTCTTTGCCTTTACTACATGATTGCTACTGTTTATCCTGAGTGATTTTTTCCCCCCTCATGAAGGTCAAGCATCATGCGCAGAAGATCTCAAGAGTTTTAGACCAGCCTGTATTCGTCATCCATCCAGTTGTAGGAAGGGTGGGTTTACTACAGTTGAGAGAAACCTTTCAACACTGCTGTTTTTAATTTAGTCTTAATAATCAGACAGTGGGTCGCTGGGTTTGTATTCACACAAACAGTTGTGTGAATGCTTAAGGTTCAAATCTTTATTTATTAATTTTTTTCTGTATTATAAAGCTCTCCCCGGTCTTTCCTCAGTAATTTAAGTCTCCCACAATTTCTTTTAAGGGAATGCTTTGTGTTTATCCAGAAGCACTACACAATTGCCGAGTAAACTTTTTTCTTTTTCTTCAAAATATCTCTGTATTTGCTGATGACTACGTTCGCAGTCATGGTTTGCTATTAAGCTGGGTTTATTTTTAGTTACTACTGTCTTTTGTGTGCAGTGTATCAGCTTTGTGTTTGTGTGTCTGAGTTGAAGATGTAACCTGCTGCATGTTCTCTTCCTCCTGGCAATCTTCCCTGTCCTCACTTATTTCCCCGTTTGTCGATTTACATGCCCACATATTCAGGGGGGTTGTCGATTTAGTGTGTGTGTGTGTGTTTTGTTGCAAGCAAGATAAACTGTTGGATCTGTGAGGGAGACTCGACTCCTAAGATCATCCTGCAGAAAAGTAATACTTTATGGTATGAATATCTTTAAAATCACTCTGAACGCGATGCATCAGATGTCTCCTGCTTTGCAAAACAACTTGTTCACTGAACGTTTCTTCTCTCATTCTTTACGGGTCAGGGAGATGTGGTTAAACTTCTATGTCCATGTGATGTTTAATTTCCTTTTAAACCATGTTGACAAGGTGGACAGACCTCTCTCAAGCTTAATGTAAAATACCACCAGACAAACACTGCTGACCTGATACACTTAATGCAGTGTGTGTACACTTAGAAGTTCCCAAATAACAATGATTATTGTTTTTCTTTTAAATCATAGTTTGTTGATTCTGTATGTGTGTTATATACTGTGGGTTTAGTCATAGGGGTGACTACAAGGAGATGTCCAGTAAAGACATTTGCTTTACTTTTTGTTGGATTCTGTCATGAATGCAGCATCTGTTATAGAAATTTAAAAAGTATATTACCCATTGATTTAAATTGTAATTATTTCAGCCTGGTTTTAAGTTTAAAAAAAACATTAAAAGTCTTAAACCCTTGGTTTAAATAACATGGACTGTCCAAAAAGTGTTTCAGAAATGTGTAATCCCTCTGCAAAATTTATGCAAGTCATTATATTTTAATACTTTGAGTATTGACCACTCTTGACTGCTTCAGTTACAGTCCTAACACCTTGTATATTGTTTTATTCATTCATACTCGTAGGCAATATGACTAATTTAACTAATTTAAACTAGACTTCCAAATATCACCTTTTTGTAGTAAATGTGAAATCCTGTCGGGCACAAGTTGAACCTGCTTCTCATCTAATGACATTTTCTCGAGTGAAACTAATAGGCTACCTTACTGGGGTTGCAAAGGTTTCAGGAAATGCCATTTATTATGGTCTGCAGGCATGCATCATCCGGTCCTTCGCTAAAACAGGAAGTGAATACTCATAATTGATTGTGTAGTGTAGTTGTGTAGTGTTTTACCAATATTTCTGTTTTGTTTGGTTGTTTTTTCCCTGTTCTGTTTAGAAGCTATGATGGGCAGGATCATATCCAATTTTATTCAATACAGTTCGAATCCTTGCTGAGCTCATGTTTAAGCACAATTTCCTCTTTGTTGTGTTGACTGTCTTGTGGTGATGAAATTACAGGGTAATGTAGAATATTAAAGGAGATGGGGGCCGCATGTGTATCCAACCATATAATTCAGTGGAAGTGCAATCATGCCAAGTCTGAAGCTCAATTTTGAAGCTGATGGCAAGCAATCTAAGCAAGGAAGACAGGAGGCTTCCGTTGTAATCTATTGCTCATGGTACTAATGAACTCGGCCTGACCACCAGCATGGCAATTGAAAGCTATTTAGATGTTACAGCATTCATGATTGATGTTTAATGGATATTTTTTGTAGAGTTGTGTGTGTACTGACAATCTGAGATGTGTCTCACAGTCCTGATTATTTGTCAGGTTTAAGAATGGCCTGAAGCTGATAGAGGGAGAAAAATCACCATTTTAAATGTGGACTGAGAGGACAAAAACACAGAGAAATTAATATGTCTTGTGTAAATCAAATTTGACTAATGGATGAATTTATTCCAGGTTTGTAATCCAAATATCATTAGATTACAGGCCATGCTATTTTGATACCCAGCACTTCTATCATCCAAATGAGCATGGGGAAATTAAAAGCTCTAGAGACAGTGTGACTATATTCCTGCAGATGACCATTAAATGAGAGCAGATTTTAATCGCACGACATTATGTACGTACTCTATTGTGTCTAGATTTATGCTTTTTTCTAGCGAACATTAGTGGATTTGTGAGATTTTCAAAAGCGGTTTTTGAACCTCTTGACTTGAGGATGGAGCGGGTTACTCTGGCTATAGCGGGGAGCGGCAATTGAAAAATCCGGAGTGGAATTACAGCGTAGTGATTACAGAACGCTTGTAAATCTCTTCAGCTCCGCGCCACTCAAACAAGCGGTTCCAGACCGGCTTTCGGTTATTTATTTATATAATTTTTTTCGTGTGGCGGGTAAGAAATATATGAATTAACTTGACTATGGTAACTTAATTTTTTTCTTTAATCTTTAGTTACTCGAAATGTTTTACTTAAACGTTACACAACAGTTTGATAAGAAAGTAACAATTGCACAGTTGTACTGAATATCAATACTTTAGCTTGTTTACTAAACAAGCAACACTCATCATTCCTGTTTGAGCTAGATAGTCGAAAGTTACCTTACATTTTCACCTTGTATTCCTCCCATAATGCAAGTAATTTCTGGATATGACATACGAGTGACCTTTTAGAGCTGATATGGCCAGTAAACATTAGCGCAAGCCTAATGCGCGCGCGTCAAGGTGAACCACATGAGTGCGCGCGGAGGAGCAGCACACAGGAGGGTGACTGACTGCTTCACATGTAGCTTCAACGACAACGAGAGGTCTGTGCGGATACAGTCCACCGACAGTCTCACGGAGCTTAACGATGGACCTTGGCGCAGACTGCATTTGGCTAGCGGTGAGGTGCACGTTGAAGCGAGCACTCTTGCGCTCGCGCAGCACGCACTGCTGAGATGATGTGGGAAGGTATGAGAGGTTACGAGGAGAAAGGGTCAATGGTAACCTCGAGATCGAAGAGCACCCGTTATCCCGAGAGCTGCCAGATGGATGCTGTTGGAAAATGACGGGTTTCGAGCTCCAGAGCTGTGTGTAGGAATACTGTGCGCTGGAGCATTGAGGACTGTTCCCCAATGGAATGCAGAAAAGACAGCGCAACTGCCGCAGTGAATGAAGTTGGTTTGTTGATCCATTCATTAACGGATAATACTATCAGTATACTTCACCAAAAGTGATAACGAAATGTATCAGAAGACCGTAGACCTGTGAACAAACTCTTATTTATTTGAACATCCACGACGAGCGTTCTCATCGGCAGAGGGAATTTAAACGCAAAAAGGCGCACGGTCACAATTCATATTATTGTTTTGATTTGTTGAGCAGTTTTCCAAGTGTCTTGATCGGTAGCGGTTGTCAGCAGTCCTGATCCGCGCGGGATGGTCGAGACGCTGAGCATCGCCGTCATCGGAGCGCCTGGAGTCGGGAAAACTTCTATCATCCGTCAGTTTATTTACAATGACTTCTCCGAGACTTACACCCCCACCCAAACGCGATACGTGTACAGACCCTCGGTCATTCTTAACGGTGTTATGTACGACCTGAAGATTTTGGATGTCCCGCCAATTTCCTCCTTTCCTTCAAGCCCGAGTCAGGTAACGTTAGGCTACAGTAGAACTGTAAAGCGCTCATGCGTGCATGTTGTTTGTGTAGCAATGCATCAGAGTACAAAAAAAAAGCAATATACGTTATTTAAAGCACATACAATGTAGAATAAACACTCTAATGTATATAACAGATAAAAAAGTTAAATATTTTACTGGAAAAGTAGGCTACATGTATTGTTGAATATATATAGAGATTTTAAACGTAAGTTATGGTAATTTTAAACATTTTCACACCCAAAACAAATTCATTTTACAGTATCTACTATCATGGCCGTATGCAGGGTTTGAAAATTATTGAAGTCTGGGGTGGAGTTAAGAATTGTGCTATAATAACCCCTACAAATACAACTATACACTAACACTTTAAAAGAGACATACATGTAGATGTTTGTGAAAGATGTTTTATCTGTTTTGGAGGGATGAACACTGTTAAATTATACCATATTTATTACATCAAAATGTGTTAGTAGCCCACTTTACTATAGGTAAGGGTGGATAATTGTATCAGTTGTTTATTATTCATGCAGCAATACATAATGCTGTTATTGTTTTCATTAATAACCATTGCTATACTGATGATAACTTTGTCTAGTGCTCTTATGGATGTTTTTAGCATGACATTGTGAAAATTTAACTATACTGAATGAAATAGCATAGACTTCTTCATAGTGCTTGCATATTTCATTTCATTCTGTAACCTAATTGTTCTACAGAACTGTGTACAAGTGTTAAATGCTACTGTTCTCGATAGCGTTGATAAAGTTTCTGACAGATAATATTATGATGATTTTTGCGTTTGCCTTACGGAATGTCAGCAATAACCTGTCCGTGGGCATTTTTGTTTACTGTCAGTTTAAGCACCGGCGAATCAATGTTGCCAGATATAGCTATGAAAACAAACAACCGAAAAATAATCCGAAATTAGAGCCCTGCATTTCAGATTTTTTTACGCCCCTCGGGCCGGGCTTCTGGCCAATTTTCACGTCATAGTTCAAACGCGGGCCGGGCCTCGGGCCTGTTTTAGGCTTCTCCTTATTTTTTATATTTTAGACATCCATCAATTAGTGATGAAAAAAATTGCCTCTCTGGTGGAAACAACACAAAACTAGTGTTTTCTGAGTCGGTGTCGCAAGGATGAAGTTGCCGATCCTCAGGGGCGTGTCTACGTGGTGGCCAGGGGTGGCACCGGCCCCCCTGAAATTTGGCTGGCCACCCCAGGTGCCCCCCCTACCAGATGTCTTGCGATAGGCTCGCGCGAGGACGAATCTCTCCAGGTGCTCCCCCTACCAGATGTCTTGCGATAGGCTCGCGCGAGGACGAATCTCTCCAGGTGCTCCCCCTACCAGATGTCTTGCGATAGGCTCGCGTGAGGACGAATCTCTCCACTCTCACTTGTTTAGTGAGTGTACACGATGTATTATAACATACATCGTTCCGCAAACACAACCTCCTCCGCGGTCCTCAGATTAGTTACGCTAGGTCGGTAATTCTGATAAGCTGTCGGACACGGGCCGGGCTAGGGCCTGAGCGTCTTGGGCCAGGGCCGGGCTAGGGCCTAAATTTGAGGCCCGTGCAGGGCTCTAACCGAAATTAGTTCAAATCTTTTGCAAATAAGATTAGATAAAGACATTGCTAACTCTAAACTGCAACTTCCCACTTTATTAACTTTCTAAAGTGTCGAATTAAGTGGAAAAGACAAGTCCAAAGACACTTATAATAGCTGGATCTGGCAACACGGCGGAGGCTGCGCCCGCGCCCGCGCCCTCTCTCACAACTCTCTTGACTCGAGCTTCGTTCCCTTCGCCAGCGTCTCGCAGCGATCATTTTCATAATGCTAAACATTCTTGCAAACTGTCTAAACTGAATTATACATGCAGACACTCATATGAGGAGTTTTAAACAGCAAATTAGTCATTCAGAGAACAAACTTTATTTTTGAACATGAAAATTTTCATTGTGACCTTCATGGTGACCTCATAGCTGGCTACAGCAGGGCCGTTTCTAGCCATTTTGACGCCCTAGGCGAAATCCCTATTAGCACCCCCCCGCCCCACCCCCCCCCCCC